ATAATCTCAGTCACAGACATTTCTCTGGTTTCTCATAGAATATTTGCAAAATTCTCCAAACACATGCATCACTCTGCTCTACTCCATCAATAACTCTCCCAACATGCTGCTCCCAAGGCCTCTGCTCCTTCTAGACATCCAGACCATGTCCTCTAGACCCAATCTGTGTCCCCCAGGAACCAGGGAGGCCTAGACACTAAGCAGTCACTCAAGAACCCAAGCATGAGGTAGGTGCAAGTCATGACAGATATTTAAACGCATAAACACGAATCAAAAGCCTGAAAGGAAAATACTACCAGACTTGAAATTGCTTAGTGATACTTCTGGAAACAAAGATATTTGGGGCTGAACTTTAACTTTAGTTGGAAAGCTGGGAGATTAGGATTCAGAGGTTAATTTTCAGACAGAAATCACCATAAGCAAGAACAAAACCACAGAGATCTGAGGGAGCTGGACAGGTACTGGGGGTGGGGGCAAATACCCTGAAAGGGTATTTGTGAGTGAGGTTTACATCGAAAGCTATAGGTTTTGAGTAAGACAGATTGCGCTCATAATGAGTGAGCCTCATCAATCAGAACCTGCTTGTGAGTCCTCATTTCTATGCAGATGAACAAAACTCAGGCACTGAGATTTCCTGGAAGCCCCAACAGAAAACAGGGGTGTCAAGTATGGTAGATAAAGCCATTTGTTCAGGTCAATGATTCAGAAATGCATTTCTGATTAGTCAACACAACACAGAGGAACTCAGACTGGCCATTTGTCAGACAGGGTTCTAGAGAACACAAACCTGTGACTGCTTCAAGAGTAGGGGGAGAGGTACCACATGGCCAGGACTACCATAGCTAGAAACCAAACTAAGACATGGTCTCACAGGACACAAGAGCAATGACAGCTGAGGTCTCTCTCAAAGCTAAGTCTCAGTGTGTGACTTTGGTGTCCCAGCCTCAAAGCCAAAGGACAGTGGTTTTACTCCCAAGGCAAAAGCTAGGGAAAGTTCTAGGTAATTCCCTGAAAGCAGAACCCTGACCCTTTACCTATTGATGGACACAAAGCCAACAAGTGGGAAATGATAGGACAATCATTATTCCATCTAATTATCTCCCTATCTTAGGTTCATTATTAACTCTATGTGGAAATTACCAGAACAGTCATTGAATGAAAACATGGTGCACACTCACCATGGGAAATCAGCATGAAAGGAGCTCTGTTTATGGTACTATTTTCTGCAATAGTCCCTTCCCTTCCATCGCCCAACTGTAGCATCAGAATTTGAGTGACAGACAGAAGGCAACCTTCTGTCAATGGCTTCAGACTATTCTTAGGCGGTTGAATGTTTTAAAATTCCCTTAGGCTTGTGTATAACCACATAGAAAGAGGCAACAGAGACTCAATGGCACAGCAAGAATCTTATGGTCAATTTCACATATCAGTTTGGCTGGGGCACCATGCCGACATATATGGTCACCCATTATTCTGGATCTTGTTCTGAAAGGGTATTTGTGAGTGAGGTTTACATCAAAAGCTATAGGTTTTGAGTAAGACAGATTGCGCTCATAATGAGTGAGCCTCATCAATCAGAAGGCCTGCCTGAAATGAAAGGTTGCTGTCCTCAAGCCAGAGGGAAGCCCAACAGCAGATGACCTTCAGACTTTGTTCATCCCAGTTCTGCAATAGACAGTCTTAGGACTCAACCAAGATTATTTGTGTGGCCTCCAGTTTTTAGGCTCCTGCCACTAGATTTAGAACCTGCCAATATTTCACAGTGGCATAAACTTATTCCTGTGCCATCCTATTGCCTCCATATTGTTGGAAGTTTCTAACAAGCCTCTTTCCATTCAGAGACAAGGTCCATGCCATCGAGTTTGGGTCTAAGCCGACTCAAAAGCTCCATGCTGCCTTCTTGACAAAACACCTTTAAGATAATCAAGGGGAGCCAGGGAGACAGCTCAGTCATAAGAGTGCTTATCTTACAAGAATGAGGACCTGAGTTCAATCCTCAGAGCCCACATTAAAAACAAAGAAACAAACAAACAAAATCAGATGTGGTGGCAAACACGTCTAATGATAGCATTGGCCAGGAAGAAGTAGGCATCTCCTGAGGATCAGGCCACCCAGCCCAGCATACTTGGTGAGGTCTAGGCCAGAGAAAGATACTGTCTCAGGAAACAAAGTGGACAGCACTGGAGGAATGATACCCAGCTTGACCTCTGACATCTGTATGTGCATGTGTACGCATACATGTACACAAAGATAATCAAAGGGCCAACCATCAAAGGTGACCACTGTTAGCAGGACAACCTTGGCAATAAAGTTCAACAGGAGAAATTGGGGTAGCCAACAGTAAAGTTCCTTCCGTAAGACATAGGATCAGCGCACCACACTTCTATAAGAGCAAGCATATAAAAGGCCCTTCTGGGAATGGTGGGGTATCTAAGAAGAGCAAGCACAGCTACCAGTCAACCTGGAATTGAGAAATATAACCTCACCAAACTACATCTGACAGGGAAAAAAATGAGCTCAGTGAGAGTGGTGTGGAAGTAACGGGATTGTCCTATCTTGATGGATGATCTAATAAAATAATATAAAATGATTAGAAACAATAAAATAAAATTACCAAACACAGTTCTATTTTCCTCGTGCTATAAAGTAGATTCTTGCATGGAGTGGAAAGCTGGACTGTGTAACTTATGACTTTAGGGAACAATGAAACACAATGGCAATGGCCCCCTGTTGCTACAGCTACTTAAGTCGCTGTATCTGCCCAGACAATGGCCACAAAAGATACAGGACTCAAGCAAACACACAAAAAAAGATAAGCCATCTTTCTGTTCCTTCCCTTCTTGCCACAGTTAGTAGCTCTGTCTATGGAGACATTTCCTGCCTGGATAACAACATACCATTTGGTGTTAGGTTTTCAACAAACATGATTATTGGTTCAGAGGCTATGGACATAGTTCAGTCTGTAAAGTCCTTACAGGACAAGCATGTGAACCCAAGTTCAGTTCCAAGAACCTATTTAAAAAGTCAGGCACAATGATGTGTACTTGTGGTCCCAGCACTATGGAGACAAGATCCTCGGGGCTCATTGCCTGGCCAACCTAGTTTAATGTGTGAGCCCCAAGGCCAGCAAGAGACCCTAACTCACAAGTCAAAAAGAGGGTGACTGAGGAAGAAAGCTGAGGCTGACCTCTGGCCATCACACGCACACATGCACAGATACACACACAAAAAGACTCAGAGAAGCTGACTGATCACAACATTCTGAAGGTAATTGCAAAGCCAATAGCAGTGAGACTCCACAAACGACCTGGTGCAGGGGGATGACAGCAGCTGGAGTAAGGGATAGATGCAATCTCCTGGAAGCTGATGTCCCCAGTGAAGATGTGCTTGCTCTGAAATGATCTGCCAAGATGTGTGTGGACTCTTGATCTGCCAAGATGAGTGTGGATTCTTGATCCAGGTTTTTGAGTCTTTCTTATACCGTGTTTGGCAAGGTTTTCCAAGTTATCTGCCAGGTGCTAAGTACCTCTCCAGGCTTTTCAGTGAATCTGAATGCAAGCAGAGTCTCCTGGCTAGAGTTTCCTCATACAAGTCCTACATCCTCAGTACACCCCCACAACATGTCATTACAAGATGGTGACTGCCTTCTAGTGAAACATCTCCCTAAAGGGCCAGCCATTGGACAGCAGAGCTCAAAGGGAGGCCTCCCATTTCATCAATCACTGAACCACCTAGTCCATCCCTGGGCATACACACAAAGGACTGACTCTATATCCTGCCACAGAGATACTTGCTCATCCGTGTTCATCGCTGCTCTGTTCACAATAGCCAGGAAATGGAGTTAGCCTAGGTGCCCATCAACAGATGGATGGATAATAAAAATGTGGTAAATGCACACATGGCAGGAACCTTCAACGGTAAAGAAAAATGAAAATTTCAGAAAGTGACTGGACTGGAAGATATCACACTAAGCGAGGCACCCAAGACTCCGGAAAACAAAATCTGCATGTTCCCTCTATCATGTGGCTCCTTGCTTCTGACTTTTTACAGTTTATGTGGCAGTGAGTGTGGTCAGAGACCAGGAAACAGAGAAGGGGACAGTAAGAGAAAGACGTAAGGGAATGCTGGGGAGGAAGGGTGGAGCCAGGGAGGGGCAGATGGGAGAGAGGGCTGCAGGGAGGGCAGAGCAACCACAAAGGAAGGAGATGACAGGAGGACTTCTGGATATATGTTTCCCTTACTGGTTGATGAATAGAACACTGTTTGGCCAATAGAGGCAGGAAGATAGGCGGGACTAGGAGACGAGGAGAATTCTGGGAGAGGGCTCGTGAGGAGACAGCATGTAGCTGCAAAAGGAGTAACAGGTCTAGGCATTCTCTGATAAGCCAAGACCATGTGTAAATGCATAGATTTATAGAAAGTGGTTAATAATTAAGACAGACCTAGCCAATAATAGAAGGTCTTAAGGAAACCTGTTGCTTTGTCAGATAGATATATATATATATATATATATATATATATATATATATATATATATATATAACTTCCAGAGTAGTGCTCACTTGAAACAGTTCTCTTTTACTGACACTGCTTTTTTTATTTCCAGAACTAATCAGGCCTTAGAACAATTCAGTGGGGACAGTAAGGTGGGAGCTGTGTACATCTTCCCCTTCTTCCCCACAGGTTCACATGGAGGCCATGGCACTTTCCATCACATCTCACTCTTCTCAGACTACTTCACCGAGTAGATTCCACATTGCTTCCTCATCTTCTCTACAGTTGCCAGCCCTTCATGTTTCTCCATTTCTCCTGATTCTTCTATCAGAAGTAGCCTCAACTTCATACTAATTCAGGAAGGTCTATCTGTGCATAGAACTTAACTCCAGTGACTTTAAAGGTCATATGGAAACCCATATATCTGGATGTTGCCTAGACATACATATTATAATACAAATTTATTTAGTCACGGTAATATTTAGAAGCTACCAGGTATCCCTTACCTCTGAAGGCTTCGTGATACATTTTCCTTTTCCTGAACACTCTACATCATTTGAGCGGCTGTCCCCAGGCACGCAGTTGCTGGCCTTCACCACCAGCGTTAAACGCAAAGCCACGATGGACTTAGCAACAGAATCATTCACAAAACCTAAAAGAAAATGGGATAACAAGAAATATAAAAGCCAGTTCTTCCAACACACTTTCTACAAGACTAGAATTTTGCCTAGGCTGAATTTAGTCTGAAAGTCAGATAAACACAGTAACACTGAGGGATTAAAATAAGGCATACAACTTTTGTCCATTCAGACCTAGGCTCCTTAAAATGCACCAGTCCCTCCAAGCATCATGGGAAATTGCTAAGGACAAAGAAGGGGAGCATCAGGCACACCACTATCATCTTATTCCGCTCCTGCCCTTGTCCTGTGGGAGACACTTGTCTGCCAATGCTTCATCTTATAATTCAACTTCTAAGATTGCACCCTGATCTTCACTCAAAGAGAAAATGTATGTGTTACTCAATGCTTCCTTCTCTTGAGTACACTGGATAATAAAAAGTTCTGGAAATTTCTGAAGGCCCCACCTTGTGTCAGCCCACCCCAGTGAGTGCCATGTTGGGCAACTCACATCTACCTGTTACTCTAATTCCAGGAGATCTGACACTTTCTTCTAGCTTCTACAGTCACTATGCATATGCTTGCACATGCACACACACATGCACACACACAAAGAGCTCTTCTGGATATATATGTATATGATATTACATATATCATGTAATATATATATATATTATATATACATATATTACATGTAATATATATATTACATGATATATGTAATATCATATACATATATATATCATGCAAAAAGTTAACCCCTGTGTGTATTCATTTCATAGTTATGTATGATTTAATTTTCATGTAGTGGAGATTTTAAGTTTAGATTTTCTATTATGCTTCAGGTATCACAACTTCATACAGGTTTTGCCAGGCTAGATAACTATAACATATAATTTTAGAAGGGTTCCGTGATTAACAATCTTTTCCTCTCTCTGTCCTGAGGCACAGGACAAAGTAACTTTTGCAGAGTTACTTTTTTTTTTTTTTTTTTCATGACTACACTACAGTAAAATAAGAAACTGGGTAAAAACAATTTGAGCAACAGTGGAAAGGCTACCATAAATGCCCTTCCCTGATAGTGAGATCAACTACTAACTTATCTACCATCATGAAGCCCTCAACTAGTACCTGTTGGAAACAGAAGCAAACACCTACAACTAAACACTGAGCCGAACCAGAATCCAGATGCAGAGAGGGAGGACAAGACCAGGCTGCAGAAACACATAGAGACAGCTGACCTGAACAAGGAGGAGCTAACAGGCCCCCAGCATGGGACTGACTCAGACCCCCTGAATATGGGTCTCAGCCAGAAGGACTGAGCAGTCTAAGGGACCTCAGACAGTGGAACCAAGATGTATTCCTGGTGCACAAAAGGACCTTGCGGACACATCCCCCATGGAGGGATACTCCCTTAACCTAGAGACAGGAGAGAAGTCCTAGTCCCTACTTCAAATGACTTGATAGATTTAGATGACCCCTCCTGGAGGGCATCACCGGACATGTGGAGTTGGGGGAGAGGAGGGGAGGGTGGTCAGGGTGCATATGAGGGTGGGAGAGAGGGAAAGAGGGAGGGAGGGAGAAAGGAAGGAAAGGAGGAAGGGAGGAAGAGAGGGAGAGAGGGAGGGAGGAAGGAGGAACTGGGGTCGATATGTAAAATAAAAATAAAAAAAAAAGAAAGAATGCCTTGGGTCTGCCTTGCCTGCAGGACAGCCAGCACCCTCTCCTTAATGATGGTCACTTAAGAACATATTGCTTCTGTAGATGAGAAATCAGCAACCTTCTAAATAGAGTGTTCTCAATTTAGAATGCCCTTGCACCCCGGGGGTGCTGTGTATTATTTCCTACGGCTCATTACCGCAGATTTGTTCAAAGTGTTCCTTGACCGACTGGGTTCACTTTCCATTCTTTTAAATGCTAAATGGAGGGCAGTCAGGGAGCAAAAGCACAGAGCAGGTCTTGGATTAGGGGACTGAAAGGAGTTATGCGGTGCTGCGCTTCTCAGAGGCCCTGATGGAACAAGTGGGTTGTCAGGAATGTTGATGAGGCCCTCTGCTCTCAGAATATTCCTCACGGCTGTGGGAAGTTAGTTTCTGGCCTGCACTCCCGTTGTTTCCTGAACATTCAGACAAGTTTTGTTGACACTATACCAGCTCCCCACATGCCCAACAAAGACACTCTGTCAACTTGGTGTCTCGGTGAAGACCAGAAGTGGGATTCTGGTGGACCGTGGTGTTTTTCATTCATGGGGAACGGGATGCTATCTTCCTCACATTTGCTATTGCACCTCTGATGTAGACAGGTTTTAGGGAGGAAGGGAGCGGGTGGCTTATTCCATGGAGCCGCTACACCATGCAGAAACATGCTGCTCACCCCTACTCTGCAGACACATTTACTACTGTCCCCTGCTGGCAATACGCCTCCTTCTCCCACTGTGAAAAGCACTGAGGTCCTGCTCTGATGTCACCTCACTTGGGGGCTTTTCCTGGATATTCCAGTGCATTCTGAGCTTGGCCGGTCTAGCCATGCTCAAGTTTATATCATGTACCAGTCTCTGGCTATTTGTCTCAGATGGCTCCTTCTTATGCCACCCTTACTGACACTTCCTTGGTGATCAAGAACAAGTCTTAGAGAAGGGCTGGGTAACAGGTCAAGACATGGGTACACAGAGCCAAAGCAGCAAAGACAAGTGCCCAAAAAAAGTCATGAAATATGTACTACGTCTACTCGTGTGTGTAGGGGCATGTCGTGCACATTCATGTGAGAGCATGTCCATGAGGAGGCCTTATAACGACATCTCAGTGTTGTCCCTCACATGCTGTTCACCTTTAGTTCTAGCCAAGGTCTCTCACTTGACCTGGCACACACAAAGTAGGCCAGGCAGGGTGATCAGTAAGCCCTGGGAACCCAACTATCTCTGCTTCCCCGCCTCTGGGACTGCAAGCACACACCAGCACACCCAGCTTTTATTACATTCTCAGGGTCAAAGTCATGTGCTTTCAAAGTAAGCAGTTTCCTGAGTCATCACAGTCCCCCATGTTCTAGCCAAGTCCTGAAGAACAACAATCATTGGAATGCCCAAATCCTAGGTTATCATCAACTTAAGCTTATTATGGGCAGGCAAAAGGTGACTGGCAAACACTGAGATCTTATCCCAAGTGACATTTTTATACATAAAATGATAGAGACAAAATATGGCATCTGTCATTATAAAAAAAATGTTCTTCATATCTTTCCTTTGTTCTCAGATTTCACATTAAATGCTTTTAGTTCTTTTTAAATCTACCTCATCTGTTCACTAAACATTTAGAACACATAATGTTCTACAATTATGTAGAAGAGGCTTCCTTCCAAAGATTATGTTTTAAAAGTCTATTCAACTATTAAATTCATTTAGCCAGCAACAGTTCAGACACGTGCATAGTTAAAAGCACACAAGGTATAGTTTTCCTACATAATTTGCTTCTGTTTCTCCAATGAGCACTGATGAGTCCACTTCTAGTTCCTCAATGAACACTGAAGGAGGCCCCTCATCCCCTGTACATGTGGTGGCTGAGCAGACTAAGAGAACAATGACAAGTCCCCCTTGCTTGACCACAAGAATGGTGGTACTTCAAGCAGTGTTGAAACTAGTGGCTTCAGCCAGGCCTTGTAGTACAGGCCTATAAACCCAGCTACTCAAGAGGCTGTGGTAGAAAGATCACAAGTTCAAGGCCAGCCTAGGCAATTTAGTAAGACTTTGTCTTAAATAAAATACAGGAAGCTCAGTGGCAGAAGAATTGCCCAGCATGCCTAAGATGTGTCCAATTCGCAGAAACAAGGAAAGAAACTACAAAACCTTGCAGAACATTCTCCCAACTACATACTTCTAGACTCCAACATACATGACAATGAATCTGTGATTTGGAGTAGAATCCTGGCAGACTTGTTTTTGAAAAACATTTCTGGGAGATGAAGAGCTAGCTCAGTAGTTAAGAGTGCTTGTTGTCCTTGAGTTCAGTTCTCAGCATCCATATTACACAGCTCACAACTGCCTCCAGATCCAGTTCCAGTGCCAGAGAATCTGAGGCCCTCTCTGGACCCATGGGCACCTAAACTCACATACAATATGCACTCACACACACAGACACCCACATATAAAGTGCATAAAGTACATTAATTTAAAAAGAAAGATTCCATAACATAATTCTGGCCTGTACTTCAAGTTAAGAATCTGGTAAAAAAAAAAAAAAATTAATACATCACATCATAATGTCATTGACATGGCAATCATTTGGAATGAGAGGCATTCATGCAAGTCTTCTGGAGTATATTTTATTCACATGGACTCCAGGCAACCGATATTTACTCCTGTGCTCACCAGACATGTCTGAAATTCTTAGTGCGACTCAGAAATAAAGAACTCTGTTGGCTGTATATGCCTAATAAGACCATGAGTATTGGGCCTTAAAGGCCTTACTAAACTATTAATAAAGCAATTAAATGTAGGAATTAACTATAAATTGGCAAGTTACCTAGCCCAGGTCTCTGTCCACCTGAGGAGCACATTGCCTGTGGTATCATCTTTAACTCACTGAAAAATCATCTTTCTAAGCAAACAGCTTCCTCTCCTGCCCATATTTGTGATTTGTTTTTGGTGTGGCATGGAAAGAAAGCTCTTATCCTGTTTTGAATTTGCACTAAAGGCATTTCTTTTGTTGTTGTTTGTTTGTTTGTTTTTTGAAACAGGATTTCTCTGTAGCTTTGTAGGCTGTCCTAGAACTTGCTTAGTAGACCAGGCTGGCCTCAAACTCACAGAGATCCACCTGCCTCTGCCTCCCGAGTGCTGGGATTAAAAGCGTATGCCACCACCACCGCCTGGCAAAATTTTTACTTTTCTTTTTTAAGAAGCATTTCTTTAAATAAAATTTAATGTGGGTCTAGGTAAGGGGGTGGCTCTGTCAGGAAAGTCCTAGCTGTGCAAGCATGGGGACCTAAGCTCAGAACACATTTCAGGGAGAGAGGCAGGGGAGGAGGGGCCAGCCAGTATGGAGAC